AATATAGAAATTCACAATACAAATAATTATATATACACACATAAAAGAGTAAAGATATGAAAATATCAAACAGAAGTATGAAAAAACATGAAACTGAAAAATATGACAATTGAAATTAGTACAGTCTAAACTGTTGCAATCAAGTTATTAATATTTCCAAATCAGCCTGGAAGTAATCATTGTATTGTTATGTAACAGTTAATTAACATTTTTTTTAAGGAATGCAGGTTTGATAGCTGTTTAAGAGAGATAGGTAGTTTGTTGTATAACTTGATGGGCATAATTAGAGGGCCGTTTGCTGCTTTCGTAAATTTATGGTGGGGAACTATAAAATTATAGTTAGATCTTAACGTATATCCTGTGGCGAGCCGAAGATTATCTCTTGATTCAAATTTGTCGAGATGAGTTTTGACATAAACAACACAGTTGAATACATATAGTGAAATAATAGTTAGAATATCCAAATCGGTAAACATCTCCCTACATGAGTCATCATAATTTTTGAAACATATTGTTCTCGCTATCTTTTTTTGAGCTATTAGTAATGCGTTTATTCTTGTACAGTTGATCAGACAATAACTGAATGAAGATTGAATGTAAGCATAGTAATAGCTCTTCAATATATTCAATGGAACAAAATTACGGAGATTACGAATTACAAAACAATGTTTCGACATTTTACTCAAAATAAAATCAATGTGCTTGTTCTAAGAGAGTTGAGCATCAATGTTCAAACCTAAACATTTTTCAGATGAGGTTTGTTGTATTGACTGGCCATTTATTTTGACCAGAACACTGCGATCATTCTCATATAGTGAAAAGACGATTGTATATTTTAATTTTCCTTATTAGCAACTGCTTGATTGGCCTGACTCGACAATCCCTCATAATCTGAAGACTTCAGAGTGAACGAAGAATCGTCGGCAAATTGCACTGTACAATGTTGACGATTACTGTTGTTGAGGTCATGTACGAATAAAAGTAAGAGAATAGGTCCTAGGACGCTACCCTGGGGAACACCGGTGGGAACGACACAGGTTCTAAAGTGGACGGTCCCAGCCTCCAGTTCAACCCTCACAGTTTGCGTTCTGCAATCCAGATAAGATCTCAACCAATCCAGAGATGAGCCACGAATTCCTAGACAAAACAGCTTGCTCAAAAGTAAATCGTGATCAACAGTGTCGAAAGCTCGTGACAAGTCGAATAGAACACTCATCGTTTTTTCACCTCTGTCGAGATTAGAAATGACTTCATTGACTAAATTCATCGTGGCATCCTGAGTGGACTTGCCAATTTGGAAGCCATATTGACAGTCTGGGATGATTTTATACTTCTTGCAAAGTTGGAGCAAAGTTACGCATTTACCTGAATAACAATATGCCGTTGGAAAAGTTCTGAAATTTCGGAAAATTGTTTTTATTTTTTTGTGACTTTATTTTTCGAAGAATTCGGAAATAAATTGCACATCCACATTGCCACTTTTTCCCTGCCACATAATGGTGTTTTGAGATATTTTATCCGACATTTCGTCTTCCGGTCACCATCATCAACTTTATTATTTCTCATAGGCGGATTCTTACTGTTTTGAATAATATCAGATTTCACCTTTTCAATGATGTATCATAAGTTATCATTCTTTTTCGAAAAATTGGAGATATTGAAAAAAATAACTCATTATCATAATAGGCTTTGACTTTGATGTTTCTAAATTTGACTTTCAATTTGTTATACTCAATGACATTTTGTTATTGTACAAGTCATTTAATTTTTGATGAAAAATGGCTTTCACGAATAAAGAAGAAAAAAAGATATTATACAAATTTATTACAAATACAATAGAAAAAGTGCTAGGACATGGGAAATGTATTCAAACTTGTTTCCCGAAAGACGACAACCACATCGAACTATGTTCAAGTTATTGGATCAAAATCTCACCAAGTTTGGTTCGTTTGAAAAGCCAATAAAAAAATACGAAGGCAGGATCAACAATCGAAATTTGATGAATGAGGCAAATTGGACATTGTGTCCTTTTCAATGAAAATATACCTTTCAAATAACAAATGACAATAATTGACTAAAATGTAAAGACAAAAGTAAATCACAGCAAATGCTCGAAATGCTGGCCTTGTTCATGATAACACAGCTGTTTCCTTCTTCGAATATTATTCACTGCACGAATAAATTCCCTCCTCCTCAATCTTCCGAACTCTCTAACAATGCTGTGTTGAAGATCCTCAATATTTTGATATTTCCTCTGACCATAAACTCTATTTTTCAGTATACCTCATAAGAATGTAGCCATAACACTTAAGTCTGGAGACCTTGCTGGCCACCTCACCGGCCCATTATGCCCTATTCATTTATCACCAAACCTTTCAAACAGGTAATACTTGTCTGGTAGTGTGTGGTAGTGATGGAGCACCATCATGTTGAAACCAGATGTTGTTATAGTTAGCCAAATGTAGATCATCCAAATAGTCTTCGAAAATCGACATTAAAAACTGGTGATAGGTTTCTCCATTCAGAATTCCGTCAAATAAATGAGGACCCAAAATTCTATCTTTGCCCATACGTTAATACTAAATCGCATTCAAGGTCGAATTTCTCGGAACTGTCGGGGGTTGTTTATGCTCCAAATTTGTTCGTAATTTCGGTTGAATATTCCACAATTCGTAAAAGTGCTTTCATTTCTCCAAATTACATTTTCCAGGAAAACAGGAAAATCAGGTCTTCTTATTAGCCAATTACAAAATTCTAATCGTCTCTCGGGATCACCTGGATGCAATTTTTGAGATATGTGTATTTTATAACATTTTAAACCGCTTTTTTTGAGATGTCTCAAGCACTTGTATAACAAATATTCATTTCGGAGGAAATTTGACGTGTAGATTTCCCCGGGTTCATGTCTATCTGCAAATTATTAATTTTTTCGAAAAGGACACAATATCTAACTTACCTCATACATACCTCATTTATCAAATTTTCTTTAGTTTCCTGGTCCATCCTGTCTCCGTATTTTTTCTCGGCTCTTCAAATGAAACACACTCGGTGAGATTTTGATTCAATAACATAGTTCAATGTGGTTGTCGTCTTTCGGGATACAAGTTTATTCCGTTGTCCTAACACTGTATCATATCTCTTTTTTTTTTTCGTGAAAGCCATTTTTTGCCAAAAATTCTATGACTTGTACAATAACAAAATGTTATTGAGTGTAACAAATTGATAGTCAAATTTAGAAACATCAAAATCAAAGCCTATTATGATATGAAGTAATTTTTTTCAATATCTCCAATTTTTCTAAAAAGAATGATAACTTACGATACATTATTGAAAAGGTAAAATAAATCTGATTCTATTCAAAACAGAAAGAATCCAATGTAGCGCCCATTGGAAAAAATAAAGTTGATGATGATGGCCGGAAGATGAAACGTCGGATAGCAAATCTGAAAACACCATCACATAGCAGGAAAAAAGTGGCAATGTGCAAGCTCAATTCATTTTCGAATCCTTCGAAAAATGAAGCCAGAAAATAATGAAAACCATTTTCCGAAATTTCTGTTCTTTTCGGATATCTCCGGATATACTCAGAATTTCAGAACTATCTCAACAGCATATTGTTAGTCAGGTGAATGCGCAACTTTGCCCCAATTCAACCATCTTCGTATCTCACATAGTTTCCGAGATCCCAATGGTGAGGATCGAATTTGAAACACCCTGTATATCGTCCGCCAAATGGAAGTTTGCAAGTATTCTTCACAAAGATGTTCTCTCTGCGCTCTGTTCTCACGAGTAATGAGTTTTCATTCATCATTGCAGGATATTTTGATATGAATTTCAAAGTAGAATCTGAAGAAAAATCTGAGTTCTCCGATTTTCTGAATTATTTTCTCTTGGCAATTGATGAATATACTTATGTAACCAACAGATCGAAAACTTGTATTGAAAACATCATTATCAATTCCGAAGTGCGGTATATTTAAGCTGTTATTGACTCATGTCTTTTTTATCATCGTGTTCAATTAATTAACATTCAGAGTCCAATGTTAAAAAATGATAATATTTTCATATATAAAACATTATTTTCGAATAGGAATATCGACAATTTCATTCTACAAGTAGAGCAACATAGTTGGAATGAAATATTTCTAGAGTCTAATGT